TTCAATCAATATTTTTTAAAATTAATTGTTAGATTTAATATTTTATTGATATAAATAATGTATATTAATTTTTTAAGTAGATTTAACATTTATAATCTCATCTGATTAAGAAATTATATTTTTAATATATATTCAATAGTGTTTAATTTTGTGTAACCAACAACCAAATTGGTATTGTATAATTTATATGAATAAAGCATATAATTTATCCGTTAGTTTTTAAAAATATTTAGTATAATTATTGTGCTTTTTAAGTTGAGACTTTAATTTTGTATAGTAGCCATGATTTATTTGTAATATTCTCATAAAATATATCAATCAAACAATGAATTTACTTCTATGAGCGTAAGAAATACTCTAATCACTTAATTACTCCCTCCATTTTACAATAGTAGTTTTACTTTAATTTTTTAATTTTTGAATAAAAGATTTAAGTAAAATTTTAATATAGCAAATCAATGTTAACAGAAAAACTTCTTATTCATTTATTTAGTTCTTTTTGTTTAATAATAATTTTATTAGTTTGAACTTTTGACTTTTAAAGTAAAAAAACTTAAGTAAAATTTAACATTAAAAGAAACTGAAGTAGAGTGATACTAATGCAACAACAAAGTGACAAAATTCATTTTTTTAAAAAAGGGGGGAATAAAATAACGCCATAACCAACTGGGGTTTAAGATGGAAAATAGTCTAATGGGTATTTTAAGAGAATAGAGTTGGGCCGAATGAAATCAGGGAATTAGGTATTTAAGAGGAAGTGTACACAAATTTCAATTTAGTAGAAGGTATATAAACTTACCATCTCACTAATTTTAATTTTCTTTTGCAGATTTCATCATTTTGGTCCAATCCACAACATATTCTGCAATCTACATTGTTTTTCTTCTCAAAATCCCCAAATTGAAGAGCACATGTTTTAGGCCAGCAGGTGGAATTTTTTATTTCTAGATATTTTGATTATTTTCTTAATATTCATTTTTCCTCTCTCAAAAAGCTTCATTTTTTTGATAGCTTGCAAAATTCTTCACTAATTATTTAGATTCTAGTGTGCTTTTCTACTTTTTAACTTAGTCTGCATATAGTGAAATATTTTAAACAGCTAAAAGTACATTTGCAGTATGTGTGAAGAAGCCTTTCCCATACATATCTTTTCTTTCAACATTCTAAGTTATTAGAGAAAGCACGAGCAATTTAAGCCAGGTACAATTTCATCCTTATTGATTTGTATCCTCATATTTTGAACCTTCTTATAACAATATATATATATTTTTTGTCTCATTCTTTGATTTAATGAATTGATTGTTCTTTACGTAAATAATGTGATGCAGAGACTACATTATGGAGAACTTTGTTGGGCCAATCATTCAAATTGTGAAGTATGTTGGTGGTCCAATTGTGAGGTACCTAAAATATCAGATAAAATTTAATAGTCATTTGGAACAATTCAATGTAAGGAAACAAGGCTTGTGTAGCCGAAAGCGTGACATTGAATCAAGATTGAACACAGAGCTTCACTTTGGGAAAGTTGCAAAGGAGGAAGTGCAAACATGGTTGAAAGATGCGGAAAATTTTATTGCAAGACATGAGGTTCAAGATGAAGTGAACAGTCGAGGATGTCTCTCATGTTGTTGTCAAGTAAAGATTCTAGAGGAAAGGGCTCGGGAACTTAAGGAAATATATGACAGAGGGGATAACTTCACTAATGAGTGTTTAGTCAAGGATGATCCATCTATTCCGTTAATGGAATTGCCAACAACGGAATTACAAGGTAGGGAAGATGTCAAAGCAGCAATTTTGGCGTGCTTGAAGGGAGATGAGGTGACAAAGCTTGGAGTTTGGGGAATGGGGGGAGTTGGAAAGACAACAATCATGAAGCATGTCCATAATGAGTTGTTGAAAGAAGGCAAATTCAAAAAAGTAATTTGGGTAACTGTATCACAAACCTTTGATATCTACAAATTGCAAGAACAGATTGCATGCAGTTTAAATGAACACCTACCAGAGAATCAAAATACAATTACTCGTGGAGCAACATTATCACAGATGCTGGTAGAACATAAGCCTTACTTGTTGATTCTAGATGATGTGTGGAGTACATTCAAACTTGAAGATGTTGGAATTCCCAAGCCACTCGTAAGTGATGGTTGCAAGCTAGTATTGACTACACGGTCACAAGAGGTTGCTCGTACAATGGACTATAAGATAATTAAAGTGAAGACTCTTTCAGAAGGGGAAGCTTTAAAATTGTTTAAAGATAAAGTTGGAGATACTGTTTTATCAGATCAAGGGTGCATTAAAGGAGCTTTAGAAGCAACTTTAAAGAGGATTGTAGATGAATGTAATGGCCTTCCCTTAGCAATTGTTACTGTTGCTAGTAGCTTGAAGGGAGTATCTGAGCCACGGTTGTGGAGTGCTGCATTGAATCAATTGAAAGACTGCAAAAGAAACATAGCAGGTACAGATGACGATGATGCATTTGGGGTATTAAAATTTAGTTATGATCGTTTGAAATCCTCAAAAATCCAACATTGCTTTTTATGTTGTGCATTGTATCCTGAGGACTACAATATCCCAATTGATTCTATAATTGATTTTTGGATTGATGAGGGGCTAATAGATGAAATGGAGACTGTACTAGCAATGAACAATGAAGGCCTTGATATATTGAGGAAACTTGAAGACAATTGTTTGTTGGAATCCAATAAAGATAAATGTAGGAAGGATTGTGTGAGGATGCATGATCTTGTTAGGGACATGGCATTGCAAATTACAAGAACAAGTCCTCGGTTCATGGTCGAAGTTGGCAAGGCATTAACAAAGCTACCTGAGAGGGGAAAATGGACAGAAGATCTTGAAAAGGTTTCATTAATGTGGAATAAGATAGAAGAAATTCCTTCAAGCATCCTAACTTCAAAATGCACAATGCTCACAACTTTGTTGTTATCCCACAATAATTTGTCAACAATTTCAGAATCTATCTTTGAGCATCTACTTGGGCTCAAAATTCTTGATCTTTCCTACAATGAACAGCTAAGGAGCCTACCAAGTTCCATCTCCAATTTGGTGAATCTCACTACACTCTTGTTGAAAATGACATCCTTGACAGAGGTTCCTTCTTTATCAAAACTTGGAGCCTTAAAAAAGTTAGACCTTGGTAGGACAAGAATCAAAAAAGTCCCTAAAAGTCTAGAAATGTGTACAAACCTCAGATATCTTAGTCTTAGAGGATATTGGGGCATATTTGATGATACAACATTATTTTTTTTTTTCGGTTTCCCGTCCGGTATCCGAGGCTTCGCCCCGACTAATCCGGACCCGACCCGCGTCGCGCACCTGGAAATGGTGGGTGAGTCTCCCAGCGGGGGCTGCTGCATCCACAAGGACTCGAACTCGAGACCTTGCTTAAGCTGGAACAAGCCGCTTACCACTTGATCCAACCCCTCGTTGGTATGATACAACATTATTAAATCTCTCAAAACTACAACAATTATTTGTAGATGAGAGAATAGTGTTAAGGGGGGAAGTGATAGGGGCATTGAAGACACTAGAAGTAATAGGGATATTGAAGAAGTTGGAAGTTTTTGAGGGCTGGTTCCCGACGGTACATGATTGGAGCATCTTTTTGAATTGTGTTCATGGTCAAGGAGATGGGCTGAGTAGATACCATCTTAGAGTTGGAAAGAAGACTCGGGGGTTCCTTTTTGAAAATTATCTCAAAAGCATAGCATTCAGTGGAATTGATATTGTTGGAGAGACTATAACATTGCCACCTTCAGTACATGGATTATTAATTGAATGTTGTGACAACCTAAGAAGCTTAAATGATTTTTCTTCCATTAAAGATGCAACAGACTTGAGGCGATGCGAGGTTGTGCATTGTGAAGGCATGGAGTGTGTTTTTACCTCGTGGATAAACCCACTCGTCCAAACCGTTGAGGAATTGATTCTTTCTGGATTAAACAAGTTGGAAGGCCTACTTGAAGCAGAAGTGATTGCCATGTCCCCACCACCGCCACCTGGCACCTTTTCATCTCTTAAATCAATTGAGCTTTATAGTTGTGGTAAAATAAAACGGTTGATCCCGTCTGAGAAGTTGTTAGGATATCTCCAAAGTCTAGAGTTGATTGAAATCAATAAGTGTGAAGAATTGGAAGAAATAATAGCATTAGATCCAGAAGAAGAAGCAGGGGACATCATCAAGAAGCTCAATCTTCCGAAATTAAAATATCTGAGATTGCGATCCTTGCTAGCATTAAAAAGCATCTGTAGCGGAAGGGCAGTAATGGTATGTGATTCTTTAGAATATATTGAAATTTGGGGTTGTGAAGGACTACGGAGGATCCCTGTTTATCTTCCCCTGTCTAATAAGGCCCAACCATCTCGTCCTCCTTCCCTCAAAGAAATCAGTGCAATTCCACGAGAATGGTGGGAATTGTTGGAGTGGGACCATCCCAATGCAAAGGATGTCCTTCAATCCGTACTTCGCCCCATGCATGAATTTGAGGATTATACATTATTGGAGTCAGAACAGTCAGAATGGGAGGATTATTCATTATGTGATTCGGAACAGTTAGAATGGGAGGATTATCCAGAGGATTGAGGATCTGTCTGAATTTTCTTGCTGCTGCATCAATTAGTGTATTTAAGCATTTCAGTCGACTGCTGTCTACATATGTTCTCAATTTTCTTGAATTAGCTCAAGACTCATTCCACAAGCAGGTTAAATTCAATTCTTCTTCTTCTTTTCAGTTGTGTGCATCTTTTTGATTCCTTTTGTCTTGAAAAAGTACTAAACGAGCTTGAACTGTTTGTCTGTTTAATTGATTCATGAATGATGTGTCTAGGCAAGCTTCAATTTAGCTTGTTGCATCATGGAACGAGCTTTGATTATTTGTTATCAAATTTGTTGATTATTTTTAAAAATGTATTGTACTGCTTAATTTACCCTTCTTTGAGGTCTTTGATATTTAGTTGATTTTCAAGTAATGATTTTTTTTTTTTTTAATTTAGGTGTGACTCTCTGCAAATCTTTGTTATAGCATTCATTTCCTACAAATTGAAGAATTTTTAACTAATGAATTTTTCATTTTTTTCAATGGATCAGGAAGTGGATTCAGTCTTTCTTATTTCGCGAGGCTTCAAAGGATGTGCTTTCTTCTAGTTTCTACCCTTTCGTGGATTTTAGTGCGATTGTTGTGCTTTCAATTTCATATTGTGTCTGTGAATAATTTTGTTGAAAACAAGCTTCAAAAAACGCGCTTTCTACTCAATGTAAATATACATAAAAAATATGATGTCAATCTAATCTTTGATCATTTAAGCCTAAGCTGGAATTCCCACCCAGAACAATCAAATCATCAATTAATTCTCTTCTTCTGTTCTGTTTGTGTGATAGCTTCCTGTTAAACAGAACTACAAATGCAAGGATTCAACTGTTTGATTTTAAAGGTTCAGAAAAATTTTGCAAGCCAAGCATAAAGGTTGAGGATTCTCTCTTTTTTGTAAGCGCCCTGGTCGTGGGAACTCACATTTTTTATGGTTTTTGTGGGAACTCTCACAAGAATGGTGGGAATTGTTGGAGTCTGACCGTCCCAATTCCTAGGATGTTCTTCGACCTTTCTGTAGCTTCTATCTTCATGAAGTAGTTGAAGAATATGATTTTAATGAATGGAAATGAGCAAGCAGAAAAGATCTAGACTAAGAGGAAAGAATTTTTTTTTTCACTCTGCAACAGCTTATCTCTACCATGACTTCTTCACTTGATTTGGACAAGGTTCTTTCTCTCCATCTAAATTTTCTGTTTCAATTTCTCCAGCTTTGTCTCACTTTGGATTGCTAATTCTATGTGAGTTTCTTTAACATTGAACAGGATTCCTCAAACTCCGAAGAAGTTTTAAACTCTAGGCACTTGCATCTAGAAAAAGTAGCAAACAAGCTTGAGTTTTTTAATTGTTTCATTTGAATGATGTGTGCAGGCTAATTTGAATTCTGCTTATTTCATCACTGAATGAGCTTTGTTATTTTGTTATTTTGTATCCAATTTACCCTTCGTATAAGGTCTTTGGGAGTCCTATGCAAAACATCTTGCTTATTTAATTCTGGCTACGAACTTTTCTTTATAAAATTTCCTTTTTTTTGGTGAACACCATACTTTAAATTCATTCGGGGCTTCTTGAAGGAAGCAATCAACTATTTATATCATTGCCCTTTTACTTCATCCGCTATATATATATATATATATATATATCACTAGTAAACCTTATTAATGTTCTATGTATATGCCTTAGTCGACATGTATCATTGCCCTTTTACTTCTTACAAGCTTGAAGTCATATAAACCTTATTTTCTATGTATTACACCATAGCCGTTGAGTTACAATAGCACTAACAAGAACTTGTTTAAAATAAAATAAAATAAAAACTTGTATATGCCTCACTGCATTGCATTCAGGCACTAAATGGGAAGTTATTCAATGTGAGAGACAGAAATTCAAGAAGAGACCTCGAGAACAAGGAGCCAAGGAATCTTTCTGAAGAAGAGCATAAAAGACAGCAGCCAGCTCTGAAGGATGCCAAACGGATCCAGATGTTGTGTTAACATTGTTGACTGCACTACAGCATTTTTGCCATTTAGCTATGGACAAAAACCGTAGATATATGATAAAAATCTGTAGGTATATGCATCTCAAGACTTATACCTACAGTAAAAAAAGTGTAAGTATATGTCCTGTAACTATAGATATCTAACTACACTTTTGTACATATTCTTACACTTTTACGTTTTGTAGGTAAAGGTTTAGTGAGTCTATACCTACATCTAAAATACTATAAGTAAAGAGAAATACCTACGCTTATGAGCCATAGGTAAATATTAATAACAACAAAATAGTAGTTACGATATTACCTTTTAGTTTTACTATTTGTCGTTGCCAAAAGTATTATTTAACAACACCATAAATTGTTACCAAAAGTTATATTTTGCAACAATTATAATTATTTTTTAAAATAGTATTTAAAAACAACAAGTTGTTGTTAAAAGTAATATGGAAAAACAACTTCAATTGTTATTTAAAGAAATATTTGTAACGACGAAAAATTGTTATAAAAGATGTATGTT